AGACTCGCGCCTCGAGTAGGTCCTGTTCTGGCATTGCACTCAGAACAGCGGGCACACCAAATGGCTACGTCGGCAGTTTGTCCGATCCAAAAGTAGCGTTTAGTACTAGTGCCAAAGTGTCCACCGGTCGTGGAGTTATTGGCGCTACGAATGGCTCCTTCCTTAAGAGAGCGAGGTACTTCCAGAGCGGGGTATGTTTTGGTAGTAATCATCAACAGGCCTTTATCCATGAAAAGCTGTTCGAAAAAATGCCAATAAGCTTTTACTTCGGGGCTTTCACTCCATGTTGCAGGTTTTGCCGGTCGCTCTCCCTTCTCTACCCATTGTAAAATCAATCCGAGAGTGGGGTCCTTTTCCTGGCTGCGAGCGATGTCGAGGGGTTGAGTCTGCAGAAAGAGGATCTCAGGACCATCATTTTGCTCGGCCCTGGTACATACGCGGCAGTCACCGCAGGGTCGACGAGACAAGGCGTCGGCATTTCCATGTTGCTTTCCGCTGCGGTGCTGGATGTCCATGTCATACTGTTGGAGTCTTTCGATCCATCGAGCTAGTTGTCCTTCAGGCTCCCGGAAGTTAAACAGCCATCGGAGGCACGAGTGATCCGTGCGCAGTAGAAATCTCCAGCCATCGACAATGAATATCCCATCGGGAGCGGGAATAGTTAGCACTGGGGGTGTGGTAAGTTTGATTTTGAGCGCCTCGAAGGCACCGTGAACAGTTGTTGACCATGTGAAGGGGCGCTTAGCTTCAGTTAGGTCGTGCAAAGGGCGCGCAATTGTGGCGAAGTCCGGAATAAACTTCCGAAAATAAGAACATAGCCCCACAAAGTAACGCACTTCCTTTTTGTTCCGAGGTGGTGGCCAATCGACGACTTTTCGAACCTTCTCTGGGCACGCTCTTAAGCCCTTGCGGCTAACAATGTGGCCCAGATAGTTAACCTCGGTCCGAAAGAAATGACACTTGTTGGGGCTCTGCTTCAGCCCTACACCCTGCAATCTATCGAAGACTTGCTGCAAGTGGTCCAGGTGTTGCTCGCCGGTAGGAGAGTGTACGATGATGTCGTCGAGTTAAACCAGGGTGAATTTCCATGTAGAACCGGAGAACAAGCCGTCCATCAATCGCTCAAAGGTGGCTGGCGTGTTGGTCAAGCCAAACGGCATTACGTTGAATTCGAACAGACCAGCGTCACACGTAAGCGCGGTCTTAGGTCTAGAGTCCTCGTCCATCTCCACCTGCCAGTAGCCGCTCTAGAGGTCCGTGGTAGAGAACCAGCAGGCTCCGTGCATAGTGGCTAAGATGTCGTCCATTCTCGGTATGGGGTATGAATTCTTGATGGTGATGTCGTTCAGACGTCGATAATCCACACAGAACCACGTGGAGCCGTCCTTTTCCTTTACCAGGACGACCGGCGAGGCACATGGGCTGGTGGACGGCCGAATTATGCCTCTAATCTTCATGTCGGCGACGAGCTGCTCTACCCCGCCCTTCCTGGCCATCGCTATGCGACGCACTGGTTGTTTAATTGGTTAAATCAGTTCGTCCCGAGTCATCGTCGTTTCGGGCAAACACCCGAGAGAAGCGGCCGATCGGTGCCGTCCATTTTTGGTGAAGGTGGGCCGGCAAGTCCTGGGGCACTCTGCGTGGGAGGATGCTCCGTCCCCGTCTACTTCTGGGCTAGATGCGGGCATGGGCTCCACGAGCTCCACCTGTCCCACTATCATTTGCGCGAGTAACAGATATTCCTGTGCGCTAAGGTTCACTAGGTGCAGGGTGTTGGTGTCTCTTGAGGTGTCCACCAAGGTGCTGCCTAGTAAAACATGGGGCGGCAGTTAAGAACTTCTCCCACGTTCCAGGCCAGAGGAAGCAGTTTTTCCGACCGGCATGGAACTGCTACGTGGGTGTCGCTATATGGCGGGATACTAGTGGATGCAGTCGAATAAAGCAAATTTCGATGCTGGGTATTCGGGGCATATAGCGGCAGAGATTCCCACGGGAGCCATAACTGGAGATCCTTTAAAGAAATTTCATACCCAAAAGGCTAGGAGTGCTGCCCTCCACCAGCAAGAACTCGTGGGTGACCGGCCTTCCGGAAATTTACAGTCTGGCGTTGACTCGAGCGGTGGCCACGAATTGTTCTGACGAGGGTCCTTGTAGAATCACTCGGCACGGTGTACTCGTGCTGGCAGAACGCTACCATTTAGTAAGGAGACAGCGGCACCGGTGTCGACGATCAGGCTTACCGGATGCTTCTGTAAAACCATCAAAATATGTAAATGTGGGCCACTAGCGGCTTTACACGTATACGTAGCTTGACTGGGTGGAGGCTGGATCCCGCGAAGTTTAACGTCAGGGTTTCCAGGTTTCCTTTGGTCCCCCGCAGTTAAGGGGGTTAGTGGTGGGTCTCCAGATGGGCGCCCGGCAAACAAACGGCTCAAAATGGAGTCCTCATGGGTCAGGTCCGAATCCTTTCCAGTATTCCGTGAACGAAGAGAAGTACCGTGTCCGGGCGCTTCCTTTGAAGGGAGGCCCGTTGGGAAAGCGGTTATTTTGGATTTGCTCGACGACGCTCTTGGTCGGCGTAGCAAGGCGGTGTTCTGAATCGCGGAAAACTCCCTGAGGCGGAGCGTTATTCTCTTTGGGCGGCGGCTTCGACTCCCTTAGGAGGAAGACTATGGCGGGCACCAGATTGCTCATTGGGTGGCGGCGGCGCAATGAGGTGTGGCGAAGGATCGCATAGGTGGGAATCCGGTCCAGTATACCGTGATTGAAGAAGGGTAGGAGACGTGGGGAGCGGATACTCGCTGGGGCTTTCGGGGTGAGCCGTCAACCTCCGCCCCGAGAAGTTGACGGCAGTTAGTTTCCCGAGGACGACACGGGGCTCCGGGAGGAATATGGGCCGGCCATGTCGTTTCTGCGAGGGCCTCGTTGTCCTCCTCGGGGTGCGCCGGTGTGATAGGCTGCAGGCACGGCGGCGACAGTCATCACGGCGGCCGCTTGGCGTCGTCGACATTGTGCTTCGATGCGGCAATCCAGGTGCCTCGCATTCGCAAAAAAACTACATTATTTTATTGATGTATAAAAGTTGTATCTATTAAATAACTCGCCTTATTTCGCTGACTTTCTCAATTTTCAAGCTGAAGTCAAATAAGACATATGTTTTTTGTAGCGTTCGCGATGCACTGTTTTTTAACATTTTTAAAACGACAAATCGTTTTAGCTTTCTTTTAGAATACAAATAATACTGGTATAAGGTATTAATAATTAAATAAATGATTGAGTTTTTTTTTCAATTTTACGTTGTATGAATGTACCGTTCACCATCCTGGAAATGGCCATGTGTTATAAGGCACCTAAAACAATTTAATGTCCCCTAATTTACAAGGACCATGTACATAAACAAGGACATATACAATTATCAGATGTAAAGAATTTCTTTACCAACCGACGATTATCGTCATTTCTAGTAGACCTTCCTTAACCAACCATCAAAATACTTTCATCTATAAATATTAAATAATAATAATTGATTATAATCAACTGGCAGCATTTTGTATGAAATTCTTTAAATCTTTTAAGCTGGTGCTTTTAACATAAATGTATAACGTTTTTATTGAATTAATTATTAATGATCTAATTGCAATCTGCAACTGTATAGTCGTAGTTAGCTTCCTTTCCTGTTTTTTGTTAATTTTCCCAGGGTACCTGAGTATTACCCTTACAAAAAAGATACTGTCATAGTCATCTGGTTGGGCCAAAATTTAAAATAAAAGTTGAATTTTAATCTGGACTGGAACTGTGGAGAAAGCACGAACTGGAATATTTTACAAATATTGAAAAACACAAATTTGAAGCAACTTTGATTTTTTTTATTGTATATTTATTGTTTGCCTGTTTTTCTGGGTAAGTTTTTTTATTTCAAGATCCTAGACCATGCTTATGTATGTATGTGTCCTTCCAAGGCGATCGGCTAAGTCGATTTCGAAATCTTGTTAACAAGTTAGTTGTTCCGAGAAAAACCCAAAGAAAATAACTATTGCAAGAGTATCCCATGTCATTGCTGACTTTGTAATGACATCGAATATTTTATATCATTTAAAATACATATGTATAGTACATAAGTTAAAAACGAATTATGGAATTATTTTTTCAGTTTTCTTAAAACTGTTGCAAGTTTTAAACCACTTAAGACTAATTATTCTGTGGTTTCCAGGAAAAAATATGGATAAATTGACAGACTTCAATCCAAAACAATGTTAGAAGGCTTATGTGTATATTTCCATGTTTGAAATGAATTGATTCTCTCATCATAAATTTAATTTCATTAAGGAATTGTTTTGAGCCCCTTGGTCGATGTCGACGATGTGTCAAAAAATCAACACATTCAAGGACATATTTTTAATATACAAGCTCGGTGTTTTTGGAGCTTTGTATTTCATGGAAAAATATTTTATGCGGATAAGGCAACATTGGATTATGCACTGGCGACTTTAAAGTGCTGCATTTAAGCTTTATTCATAATTATGCCAATTCATAGAAGATTTAATCTTTATTTTTCGGTATTTCTTTCAGTTTTATTTTAAAGAATCAAACATTTTTTTATCTCATTTATATATAAACAAATTTCGAATATACCCGAGAATGTGAATCCCATTTAAATTGTATTGTAAGGGGACCACACGGGAGACCCCTTGTAAATATTTGGACGTTCTCGACAATGTGATTATATTTTCTAGATTTGTGGCATTGAAAGGGAATTCAAATTTTATGTTTATTTAATTAGTAAAACTGACCATTTTGTAACCAAAAACAAAGAAATAAGAAAAATATATATTATTGAAGTAAATAAATGCTTTTGAATGTAGCTTAACCTTTGCGCAGCCAACATATACCAAGTATTTTAGAGCTCACAAAGCACTTAAAACCCAACATGAAAATATACACAAGAGAAATTTTATTTCATTACCAATCAAAACAAATATATATATGTAAATATGTCTAAATATGTGGAATATGATTTTATATTTTGTAGCGATATCAACCGTAAACGGTTTGTTTATTGTGATTTACGAAATGTTTCCATTTAATGTTTTTCTTTCTATCGTCAGAAATTGATTACTGCTCTTTAAGTTGTTTCAGTTATCGCAGCAACACTACTGTTCTTACAAAGTGCTTCTATATATATATATATATATATATATATATATATATATATTTACATATTTAAATAAATTAAGGACCATAAAAAATCATTCTAACATACTTAATACAAGAACTAATTCTGTTTCCATGCTTCTGATAGGTGAAAAGTGGGCGATGAAATTATATAAACATCCCACACTATAATAATTTAATAATTCAGCTGTTATAATTGCCGCAACCATTTTCCTGATTGCCTATCGTCCAGTAATGATCTAAAATATCCTCGCTCGTAAAACGGACATCTGGATCCGACTGCAACATGTTGGCAATTAGATCACGCACTCCGTCTCCTATATCGGACCAGTATGGATCGGGAAACTCGTAAACTCCTGATATAATTGCATCGAAGAGAGGTTCCTGTTGGTTGTCAAGTGCCACGAAGGGTGGGAATCCGCACAGCAATATGTACAAAATTATGCCAGCAGCCCACACGTCAATCTTTTTTTAAAATGAATAATATGAGCGAAATATTCAATGTAAAAGCGTAAAAGTTTTTCTATTTTGCTTCTATTACCTTTAATCCGTAGCCCACCTCCAATAATATTTCAGGTGCCACATAAGTAGGCGTACCACAAACGGCATAAAGAGGTTCCGTTACCTCACAGGCTAGTCCAAAATCAGCTAGTTTAAGTTCAAGAACATTTCCATATTCATCCAGCTCAACCTGTAAATGTAAATTGAAGACATTATTATTTTATATCAACATAAATGGTTATACACTGGTCGACAAAATGTAGTAAGAAGCATTTTCAAGTTATTAAAGTAAAAAAAAACACTATCTTATCTAGTTTAGTAGATTTATGTATTAATAAAGCTATCGAATAAACATGGAGCTTAGGAGATAATCAAAGTAACCGGATTTAAAGAACTACAACCACCGACTTGCTCCTTTTTTATACCCTTGCAGGGTATTATAATTTCAGTCAGAAGTTTGCAACGCAGTGAAGGAGGCACCTCCGACTATATAAAGTATATATATTCTTGATCAGGATCAACAGCCGAGTCGATCTAGCCATGTCCGTCTGTCCGTCTGTCCGTTTCTACGCAAACTAGTCTCTCAGTTTTGAAGCTATCTAAATGAAACTTTGCAGTTAGTCTTCTATATACTCTCACTCAAATATATGTCGGAACGGGCCGGATCGGACGACTATATCATATAGCTGTCATAGGAATGATCGGAAAAGTTTTACAAAAAAAATTATAAAATTTTTAGTTTTCAACAGAATTTGATCAAATTTGAGATATAGCCATTTCATATTATTCTACAATTTTGTGTAAAATTTTATGAAAATCGGACTAATATATCATATAGCTCCCATAGGAACGATCGAGAAATTTGAGAGGAATGAGAATGGCGGTGGCTGTTGTCGGAAGACTGACAATCGCGGTGGCGATAACATTTTTAGTTTTCAACAGAATTTAATCAAATTTAAAATATAGCCGTTTTATATTATTCTAAAATTTTGTGTAAAATTTTATGAAAATCGGATTACTATATCATATAGCTCCCATAGGAACGATCGAGAAATTAATACAATTAAATGTATAACTTTTTTAGTTTTCAGCTGATTTTCATCAAATTTGAGGTATAGCCATTTTATATAAGTCTTAAATTTTGTGGCAAATTTCATAAAAATCGGACGACTATATCATATAGGTGCCATACAAACGATCGTTTGATGTAGAGGAAAAATGCAAATCTGTGGATGTAAAACTGCAAATATAATATGTATAGGTGAATGAAATGAAAGCAGGTATTACTTCATTGTTTTTTAACACAAATATATATAATTTATATTGTATGGATTCCTATTCATAGAAGTTCTATCTGCAAGGGTATATAAACTTCGGCGTGCCGAAGTTAGCTTCCTTTCTTGTTTTCTTATCTTTTTTACCCTGGCAGACTAATATAATTTTAGGCAGTTTTTTGCGACACAGTGAAGCATACGATTTCAAAATAACTTATTAAATTGATTCAGAAAAAATTTTTTATATTTATTTGCTTGATCGATGCTTAATGATCCATGTTAAACTGTGGTTACAAATTTCTGCATGAGAAAGTTATATTCCTTTTTTGTTCAAAAATATTTTTTTAACCATTATTTAAATTGCACAAAAATTAATCTATCTTCTTTAGAAGCTAGTTTTTTTTTTTGTTTTGGGGGTATTGAGAAGCAATACTGGGCAATGCTTCTATTAACTATTATGTAATATTTATAAGTTTTATACCTTTTTTATTATTGGTTTCAACATAATTTTTGTAAGTTCTCTTTTCGGTCAAAGATCCATTAGGTGCGATATCTGAGTTCGCTCAATGCAGACAGACCACCTAGAATAATGGCGGGTCGCAGCGTAAAAGGAGGATTCCTTCTGCGATTAATAAAGTCTAAAGTTCAATCAAAGTAACACCCTTCTTTCAAGATATTTTATTAGTACATCAGACGAAGACGCCAGGGGATGTCTGGTATACATTATCTAATATAGCATTATCTAATGGTATTTAAAAATAATGAAGTGTCTTAATAAATGCCTAAATCCTACTTTACAAAACAGCATTTAAATTTTGTTGATATCACTTACAGTTCGTTAAATATACGAGTTTGAATTTTTAGTTACCCTTTGCACGAAATAAGCTGTGAGCCACTGTATGTAACTACAAGTGGCTCCTTTAACATTGCAATGTATGTTTAACATAAAACCTATACAAATCGAAACATTCATATTAACCTTCAGAAATTATTGTTACGAATTCTCTAAGCCAGTCATCTAAACTTACAAACTTGTTAAATGCTTACGCTTCGGCCAAAAATGCACACGAAGTTTTAATCAGAAATCCCACTCAGCAGCAGGAAGGGACAAAAACTTATATGATCTAGTATCGAAATAAACAAAATAACGTTTTTTTTTTCATATCTGCTAAAATAACGACGCTATGGCAAATTTAAAAAATTGGCTTGGAAGTGCATGAACTTTTAGAGTCTGAATTGAAAATTAAGCGATTTGCAGACAATAACCTCTAGTTATTGTTAGTACGCATACAACCAATAAAACAGCTAGACAACAGTCTCTTTCCTCACCTTTCCTCGCGGGAAAACTATGAATTTTTTGCTTTTAGACCTTTCATTTGTATACTCTTGCTGGGTAATCAACTCTCGATTCGAAGTTTGCAAAGAAAGAAAGTAGCAGTAGCTAATTTACTACTACTAAAACAAGATATTATAACAAGAATTATGGAATTATTGAAGCGTTCTATAATTTTGTATACCTTTGCAGGATGATATTTATTATAGCTTCAGTCAGAAGTTTGCAACGCAGTGAAGGCGTCATCTCCTTATAAAGTATATATGTATATATATATATATATATATATACTCTTACTTGTATATAAGTCGAAACGGGCCAGATATAGCTGTTATAGAAACAGCGTTTTAGAAAAAAAAATTATAACTTTCCCCGTTTTTAACAAAATTTTATCAAATTTGGGATATAGCCCTTTTATATTATCATAGAATTTTTAATATTATGAAGATCGGACAACTATATCATATAGCTGCCATACAAACGATCGTTAGATATAGAGGGAAATGCAAAACTTTGAATGCCAAACTGTAAATATAATAAGTATAGGTGAATAAAATGCAAGCAGGCATTTCTTCAACATGCAAGGGTATTGTGTTATATTGTTTTTCATCTTTTTAAATGGTTTAAATGGTTTAACATGATATAATTGCTTCGGAATTTATCTCCTTTTGACTCCAAGGAAAATACACATTTTATAAGAAATTTTTGTTTGAACGAACTTAGTTTGGTGTCAACCAGCGTTATCCTGTAATTGAGAGATTAGCTTACGAGGAGGTTCTCCGGCTTAATATCACGGTGTACAATACCCATGGAATGTAGGTAAGACATGGCTGAGCCCAAGTGTCTGATCATTATTCGCGATTGTATTTCTGAAAAGCGAGTCACCTGCGTAATCGCATCAAAAAGATCACCACCTAAAATTTTTCACAAAGATTATTTTGATTTTTCTTGCTTGCTATTATTGTTTTGTAAGATATAAACTTACCACTCACATACTCTAGTACAAGATACATATTGGCCTGATGGTCAACATCCAATATAAGTGATATTATATGCGGGTGATCCAGCTTTTTCATAACTCGAACTTCAGCGTCAATGTAGTGCTCTTTGCCTTTGCATTTGCTTTTATCGATAATTTTCAGGGCAAGGATATCACCTGTCTCACGCACCTTTATTTTTAGCACAACAGCAAAATTACCGTCACCAATAATTTCGCCAAGCGTGTAATGATCGCGGATAGCTAATGGCAAATCACTGATTTGAACGCCAGTGCTCTTGAGGAATGCCGCCTGATCATCATCGGGCTCGGTGACAGTTAACGCCGTCGCCTTGAATTCGGAATCTGAATCTACCTTTGGCGCGGGATACACCTTTTTGCTCTTAACTGGCATTTTGGGTTTGGGACCTTTGTAAGTCGTACCTGCCGTGCGCAGCGTCTTGCGAATGGCATTGATCGCCCTTTGCTCATCAACCTCTAACTTAAAATCCTCTGTCGAGTTAACACGCTCTGTACCATAAGCAAAAAAAATGTCATCTGGACCAAAAAAGTCAGCCAGCTGCACCACTGATACTCCAGATAACGTGAAGACCTTTCTTACATAGCCTGTGTCTAGGCGGACCACTTGGGTAATTGCGGTCAATACATGATCGAAGCTTGGACTGTTTCGCTTGTTTAGCAGTAGACGCATTATGCGTCGTGGCTTTGTTCCGTTGCGAATCATTGTCACAATGCGTGGATAGACCACATTGAGTCGTTCAGTGCAACGCGACGTGTTAAACGGACTACCATTGCTTGCACCTGAAGCTAGAGCACTTGCAGCGCTAGATAGTAAGGATCCGTTCTTCAGCGGAGATGAAGGGCGCTGAAGCTTGGCCAACCGCTGATTGTTCGTGCGGCTATTGCTGGTCGCCAATGTCAGATTCGGCAATGGCTGCGAACTGGTATTATACTCCACTTTCTTGAAATTCTCGTTATTACAGGAACAAACGTAGCTCTGGCCATCTTCCAGCTCATTCAGGGCAAATATCTGTTTTGAGACAATGCCAAATAAGATAAGTAGTGTTACAAAAAGGCATGGTTCATTGGATACTAACCTTTTTTCCATACATGTTATATATGGTGCGAACAGCTCCCGGTATCTTGACATTCTCCTCCAGCAACCGAGTAAGGTCTTCGTATAGACTCTCGAACGACCGATAACGTTCATTGGACACTGGAATGGTTATGCCCGGATAGAAACGATCACCGTTTCGATAGAACTTTATCCTATGTGCTTTACGAGTCGGCGTACGATTGCTTGAAATACGTTTCTTGATATGTGTGGATGCAATGACTGATGAAACGCCTAACGATGACGTTGCACTTGCATCGCCGTTTGTTTCATCGCTTTCGTTTATTGGAAGCGGCGCAACAGAAGCCGAAGTAGAAGAGCCGGCGCTCAACGAGCCATTTGATTTTCCCACACTACCACTGCCGGTAAGAGAGCTATTCTTATAGTTTGTTAGCTCGCTAAACTCAATTTCCAGCCCCGAGTTACAACTGACGGGACTGCCGCATTCCCGATTAATGTTGTCGACTTTCTCCTGAAGCTTTTCTTCAGTGGTTTTCTGTAATGCCTTTTTTGGCGTGTCGTTGGTGGTGACTATCGCTGATGATTGGAGAGAGAGTACGGTGGAGGTGCAATGAAGACTGTTCATTTTAACATCCATTCTGCAGGAACAGGAAAATTATAAAATGTTAGAGAAATGTAATCTTCAGTTCCAAGATTAGTTTAATCTAATCCTGTAGAATTGAAAAATCAGCCTGGATGGTTCGATCAGAACTATTTATATTTTAATCAACATGTATTGTAATGCTCTTTGAAACTTTATGTTTTTGTCGTTTGCATTTCTGTCTTAAATTATATATATATTCTTAATCAGCATCACCAGCTATCAGCCAATTTAACGATGAGCTATGTAACTGACTCGTGCTAGAGCTATCAAATTTGAACGCAAGTTTTTCGATCAGCATCAACAGCCCAGTCGATCAATCCATGTCCTGCTATCCGTGTCTACGAAAACTTGTCTCAATTTTGAAGCTAGCTGAATGAAACTTTTCAGTTAGTCTTCTATATACTCTCACTTTTAATTTATATGGTATTAATTCCATGTGATCGAAGTTCTATCTGCAAAGGTATACAAACTTCGGCGTGCCGAAGTTAGCTTCTTTTCAGGTTTTATTTCGAATTTATAACTTTGTTTACATATATATACTTGATCAGCATCAACAGAATTTGAAACTTTGAATTTAGTCTTCTAAATACTCGCAATTGTATATATGTCGGAAAGGGGTGGATCAGAAGACTATATCATATAGCTGCCATAGGAATGATAGGAAAATTTTTACAAAAAAAAATATAACATTTTCAGTTTTCAACAGAAATGAAATTACCAAATTTGAGATATAGCCATTTTATATTACGTTACATTTTTGTATAACATTTTAGGCACCTCCGACTATACAAAGTATATATATTCTTGATCAGCCGAATCGATCTAGCCATGTCCGTCTGTCCGTCTTTCCGTTTCTACGCAAACTGGTCTCTCAGTTTTGAAGCTATCTGAATGAAACTTTGTAGTTAGTCTTCTATATACTCTTACTCGTATATATGTCGGAACGGGCCGAATCGGACGACTATATCATATAACTTCCATAGAAAAATTTTAGGAAAATATAACTTTTCCAGGTTCAACAGATTTTCATCTAATTTGTATTATTCTGGAATTTTGGTTTTTATTTTATGTAATCGGGTGACTCTATCATATAGCTGCCGTAGAAACTATCGTTAAATGTACATGTTAAATGTACATGTTAAATGTACATGTTAAATGTACATGTTAAATGTACAAAATGCTAAGCTGTGAATGTAAAACGGTAACTGTAAAACTATGTATGTAATCAGTATAGGTAACTGTAATGAAAGTAGGAATTACCCGTAAAACCATTGATTTATAGACGTTGATTGAATAAACGCTCATTTTTTCGGCTTTCTTAGAAACTTGTAAGACTTTAAACTTTAAATTTTTTTTACCAGTTATGAAGTAAATGGGGAAGTATATTTATAAAATTGGTTGAAGTTGAATTTTGAAAAATATATATATGAACTGCCATGATCAACAAAATTCCGAAGGACTGTGTGGGCAGAAAACAAGTAAATAGTATTATATCGTATAACCTATATGCGATAGCCCCATGTATGCTGGACGAAAATATGCTATGAAGGGTCAAGTCATTTTAGAGAAATCTTGTTGATTAATTGGAAAAACGTGGTTTTGAGATAAATGCAAAAGAAATATTTTTTGCAGTAGTAGGCTGCTCTGAATCATTCCTTCTCATAGAAGAATAACAAGAAATCCTTTAGAGGACTTAAAGTACATAAAACAATTTATGAAAATAAAATTGTTACATGGTTCAACCAAAGACTTTATAACTTATAAGATGCCTCACGGCCATACATTCGTTTTGCAATATGAGGCGAATTTTTTGATTCAAACGACAATGGCGCTCTCCCTGCTCTCACAAAGTTGAGAGCGTAAATATCTAAAAATAGAATGCGTTTGCATGTATGAGTAAACACAGAACAAAAAAGTGCGCATGTGTGCGTGAATATGTGTGTGCTTCTGTTCGCATGCCCAACGACGAAAAATTAAAATTTTATATTTTGGCTGAAGACCGCTTGTTAGGTAGAGAGGGGGACGAGAACGGCAGCAAAAACAGCTGATGTATACATGTGCATATCGATGTGTTTGTTTGTTTTGATTTTAGTTTGTTTACATTTTTAAAGTGCTTGAGTCCCTTTATATTGTTCTTTTTTTCTTTATTTTTAATTATATTATTTTTATAAGTAATGCAAAAAATAAAAATACTTCGTTTAATTCCAATATTTAAATATGTATGTATATTATATATTTGAATTATTAAATATATACATATATTAAATATTATTATTATAATAACAAAAAATACCATTTAAATTCATATTTATATATGTATTTATAATTATTCAATTCAATTGACTTAGAAATAATATTTATTTATATATATATGGGCAATTCTCTGGTGTCGAATGCGACCTTCGTACGCATTCAAACTAAAAAAACACATGTGCCAAGACTTTATTTTAATTTTATAAAAATTGAAACGTATAGCTCTTGGTTAGCACTATAATTGGTGCTAAGGTCGATTTTGAACCCTTGTTTGTTTTCAAGATATTCACTAAAATGTACTGCGTTCGCACGCGACAAAAATAGAAGTTACATTTGCAAAAAACAAGTTTAAGCTCTGATTTCAGCGAAACGTGATGAAAAATTGTAGTAAAATAAATTTTAATGAATTACGCAATGAATTCTCTTCATAATTTGTTTTGTTTGATTTTAAAATATTAAGTAGTTATTTTTTAAATTCAATTTTAGTCCCGGTCGCACGCGACAGTTTGGAAAGCGATAATTCAAACTAAAATTGTACGAATATTGATGATCGCATATGTCCTTTTCCACTTTTTATTTACTCTTTGGGTTTTCTATGTGATATTAGAAAGCAAAAGTCAAAGCAAAATCCCTTTGTTTAATAGATTGACATCAAAACAAAACATGCCATTTTTTATGCCTTTTTTTGATAAAAACAACATTTGTTTCATTTGCGCGTGTTTGACATCGATTTTTTGAAACTTATTTTAGAAAATGAAAAATTCTTTTAGTCTTGATCATCCTGACCAATTTTTTTTATAATCATGTTAAAAATACTCGTTTTTAAGCAATTTTAAGTTTTTGGCCGCGGTGGACCTTTCTGGAGAATTGCCCATATATAAATATATACATAAATTATAAAAATAAAATAAAATAAATGTACAAATTTGTAATAAATTCAACCGCGAAATCGGTATTTTGAGGCACGCCATGTTGCTGTATGCGTATGAGAGAGCTGCTGGCTCTAGAGCCATCACGAAAACATTGCTGTATGCGTGAGAGTGCTGCTGGCTCTAGACTCTAGAGTCTAGAGCCAGCACGAGAGAGCGGCTAGAGCCAGCACGAGAGAGCGGCTGGCTCTAGAGCGCTCTCTCGCTGACTTTTGAACGAAGTGCGAGAAAGCCTGGAGCCAGTTCAAAAGCCAGCACGAAAAAATCGTGTGCAAAAAAATCGTATGGCGTTACTAATCTTATACTTATACATCTTTGGTTCAACGCTCTTAAGCGGGAATATTCATATGTACGAACATGTTACCAGTAAAAATTTTAAATTTCTCGTGATATTTTTAATTTTTTTTAAAGAGATTTATCGATCATGTTACAAAAATTTTTTATTTAAAAATTGTACAACAGGATCTTTAAGTTTCACGGTTTTGGATTTGGTTAGTTTGGTTTTATTTCCCACCCCCTAGATAACAAATACAAAGTATTTTTATTATTAATATTTATGTTAAAAAAATATTAATTTAATACTGATTAGACTTATATTGGAGTTACTCAATATTTTGCATAGTTTTGTGTATTTTGAATTTGCCGTCGTCAGTTTTATCCTTCGTTTTATTCATCCACCTTAATCATTAATCCTCGAAAGGAGATTCTAGATCTAACCATAATCTAGGATAACCTGACATTCATGATGAGTAACTGGGACGTTCTAGATAATCACTCTAGAAAAACCACCCTATCAAAAATCGGTAACCAACGGAAAGCAAACTAGAATAAAAAATCCAGTCTTCTTGGAACAATCATCAGTCTTGTTCACCGTTAGTACCATTCATCTTCGAAAATATTAACAAGTTTATCGACATTTTGAATGAAGCTTGTAACAAATCCTTTCCAAAAATAAACTCCCCTGGATTAGAAACTTGCTCCAAACTTAAAACTCTTAGAGGCAATTGCATGTCTTTGTTCAACAGGGCGAAAGCAGTCAATGGTAATTAACTCTTACAGGACAAGAAACTCAATCTCTTTAAGGCGACCAGAAATGCGAAAGAAATTCTTAAAAGCAATGATGAATGTTTTGAGATGGTAAGACTCAGTAAAATCTTTTCAAAAACTACCCCATCTATAGGGTCAGAATGGCTTATGGACAAAGTCTTTTGAAGAGTTTCAGTCCCCCAGTCTCCTACTTCACATACATTTCCAAGAAATCTCAAGGGAGGACACCTTACAGGACTAGACTAGGACTAGACTGGTCGATTAAATTCATTAAGCCACACAAACTGCCTGACTCGGATGGCATTTTTCCGGCCCCCTCCAAAATTAAATTGGTTTTATGCAATTATGGAAACCGCTTGGCTGGAAACCAAAGTAGACATCACGAAAGCATGGTAAAGGAAAGGAAGATTCTCCGAAAGATCATTACATACTATAGTGGAAGATACTATTCAAAGGTTGTCAGAGTATCTCTTTTTGTAAACTATTTCGAAGATTTCACAAAACTGCCACCAACTCATCTAACTGCAATTAATAATATTTTAATGATGTTATTGCTTCTTTTTGATTTATGCATTAAATTACTATATTTCTATCCAGACGTTAGAGACTACAGCTGGCCAAAATTAGAAAAAAAAAAACCTTATTTCTTTAAATCAACATGGTTATTCGCTTTTGTTAAAAAAATTACACAAGAACAGGCCTGATAAAACCACAAAATAATAAGAATAAACAAATTAATTTGACATTGATGAAATATTCGAAATGTAGTATGAAAATTAACTTTTTGCTATTATTAATAAAAAAAATATATATATATTTTATTTCTAGTGTAAAAATATTTATTTTCAAGAGATCAAACATAAGGATTAAGATAACTCAAATGTATTATTTAACTATTCAATGCATACAAAAAAAATTGTTTGAGTGGCCCATACTTATTAACATCCTTTTTTTTGAACAGTTCCACAAACACATTACTTTGAAAACCACATTTCGACCTTTAAAATAGATACTTAGCTATATATACTTTTACTCTACTCTTTTGCCCCAGGGGACCGGGTATAAAAGCTCATAGATGACCACATAACCAAGGTCAAGAACATTAGAAGTTCAGAATTTATAGGGACTTAAGGTAAACAAGAAAGGAAGCTAACTTAGTCACACCGAATTTCATATACCCTTGCAGATAGAACTTCGTTGACTAGGAACTAATACAATATAAATTATATATATTTATGTTAAAAAACAATAAAGTAATGCCTGCTTTCATTTCATTTGCGTATACATATTATATTTACAGCAGTGTTTAAATAACTGCAGTCGAATTAGCATAAGTCGCAATATTTTTGCTTTGCACGCTGTGGCACGCGTCGACTTTCGGGATTCGTCGGCAGCTACAGTCGCATAAGTCGCTGCATTCGACTTTTTGCTTCTTTTGATTTTTGTAGATGTTGCTTTCGATCAGCAGCATATGTCAAAATTAGCAAGAATATGCAGATCGTGGAAGTCGCCCGTAGCCGCCGTCGCTCTGGTTTGCTTCTTTTGATTTTACTTGTAGTTAGTTCGCTGCGGGACTCACACGTATTCAGTCATGGCTCCAAGTGAAGTGTGGAAGTATTTCGAAAATAAGGCAGACGAGGGTTTAGCAATATGCAATGTATGCAATAACTCTCTTAAAAAAAAACAGAAGACTTTCAAATTTAAAAACACACTTAATAAAACAACACAAAATTTAAACGTGCAAAATTAAAACAATCAGAAAAAAAATTAAAATAGAAGGTAATAAAAAACAACTAATAAGATCCTATATAGGACTGGTAACAGAAGACAGTATCCCTTTTAATGTCTTAAATTCACCAAATACGAGGAATATTCTCGATCCAATATGCGAAGGCCTGAAGACTGCGGATGGCAAAATAATGAAATTACATGCATTAAATGATGATTGAATTAAGAGGTGCAGGATCAAGTGGATCTAATAATCTTGCCGCCGAAGTAATCAAAGTCCCCAACAGATATAATATAAATTTAAATCAAATTGTTTCCATTAATTCTGACAACGGTGCCAATATGGTTAAAACTACAAATATTTTATCATATCTTTCTGAACAAAACAATGAAGAGGATACAAAAAATTGGGCTCATAGAAAAAGTGCCCTATGTATTAATAGGTAATATTCAAGTTTGTCGTTGTGCTCCACATACAGCACAGCTAGTTGCGATTGATGTAAATAAATCACCGGACATACTTAAGTTCTTACTCAATTGTCGAAATTTGACAAAATACATAAGAAAATATCGAATGGATATCGCGAAACTTTTGAACTGAAAAGATTTAAAGTGTCACAACTAGATTGTCCAACCAGGTGGGGATCTACCTACACAATGCTACAAAACTTTTTGGAAGCTAAGGACTTGTTAAGAAAAATTGAATCGGTTAAAAACAAAATGGATGAGGATAATTTTGAAATGGATTCCTCGTTTTGGGATTTTATTGAGACGTATTGCTATGTTTTTAGTTCCTTGCAAAAATCAATAAAAAAAATTCAAGAGGAGCAATTACATTATAGTAATTTAAACGCCCAATGGCTAAATCTTAAAATATCAACAGAAAAAATGGTAAAGGATTCAACAATTTAACAAAAACTATCGGAAATAAAATTTTGAATTCTATAGAAATACGAACAAAAACATTGTTGAATAATAAATTCGTAGTTTCTTGCTTGTTTCTGGATCCTCCTACAAAAATTAAAAATCTTCAACTTTCGTATCAAAGGATTGATATAGACGTGCTATCGTATTGGAAAGGTAAACAGCATACCTATCGGGAGTTGTACGCAATAAGTAATGTTTGCTATGCTGTACCGCCAACTAAAGTAAATTATAATGGCATAAATAATTGAAATTTTGTTATTTATTTATTTATTTAATAACAGGTTTCGATTGAACGAGCATTCTCCACTCTGAGACTGATGCTTACCGACTACCGCAATCGTTTAAGCCAGGATGTTCTTGAGAACATATTGCTGGTCAAGTTCAATCCCAGCTTTTTGTGACTGTTTGAAAATGAAAATGAAAAAGTTTATTAACACTCAAACTGTTTTTATGTTTTTATTTTAATTAATTTTGTTTTTATTGATATTGAATTACTCGCATTTTTATTTATTGTGTTATGTTTCGTAAAGATTAAAAATAAGATAAACAAGAAAGGAAGCTAACTTCGGCACGCCGAAGTTTATATACCCTTGCAGATAGAACTTCTATGAATAGGAATCCATACAATATAAATTATATATATTTGTGTTAAAAAACAATGAAGTAATACCTGCTATCATTTCATTCACCTATACATAAGTATTATATTTGCAGTTTTACATTCACAGATTTGAATTTTTTCTCTACATCAAACGATCGTTTGTATGGCACCTATATGATATAGTCGTCCGATTTTCATGAAATTTGACACAAAATGTAAAACTATTATAAAATGGCAATACCTCAAATTTGATGAAAATCAGCTGAAAACTGAAAAAGTTATAAATTTAATTGTATTAATTTCTCGATCGTTCCTATGGGAGCTATATGATTTAGTAGTCTGATTTTCATAAAATTTTATGCAAAATTGTAGAGTATAGTTAAATGGCTATATCTCAAATTTAATCCAATTCTATTGAAAACTGAAAAAGTTAAAATTTTTTTGTCAAAATTTTCCGATCATTCCTATGGAAGCTATATGATATAGTCGTCCGATCCGGCCCGTTCCGACATATATTTGAGTGAGAGTATATAGAAGGCTAACAAAGTTTCATTCAGATAGCTTCAAAACTGAGAGACTAGTTTGCGTAGAAACGGACAGACGGACATGGCTGGATCGACTCGGCTGTTGATTCTGATCAAGAATATATATACTTTATATAGTCGGAGGTGCCTCCTTCACTGCGTTGCAAACTTCTGACTGAAATTAGAATACCCTGCAAGGGTATAAAAACATAAATAAAAAGGTACAAGTACGAAATAATTAATTGCCAAAAAATTAATCAAACTAATAGGTCATAAATGAAAAGTCGCAACGATCGAAAACAACGGGCGACTTCCACGATCTGCATATTCTTGCTAATTTTGACATATGCTGCTGATCGAAAGCAACAGCTACCAAAATCAAAAGTAGCAAAAAGTCGAATGCAGCGACTTATGCGACTGTAGCTCCCGAAAAAGTCGACGCTTGCCACAGCGTTGACTTTCGTCTACGGAAAGCAAGAAAACGAAAAGCGGCGACTGCTGCTGATTTTTTATTTTGGTCGCTGTTTGATTTTTGACTATGCTTTGACTGCGACTTCTGATTTGTCCAGAAGCAGAAGCAGAATCAAAATCATGCGAAATAAAACTTACCACAGTTTTTTAAACACTTATTTACAGTTTTACATTCACAGTTTTTCATTTCCTCTATATCTAACGATCGTTTGTATGACAGCTATATGATATAGTAGTCAGGTTTTAATAAAATTTATAACAAAAAGTCGTTCAATCCAGCCCGTTCCAATATTTATACGAGTGAGAGTATATAAAAGACTTACTGTAAAGTTTGAGATAGATTTAAAAATGAGGGACTAGTTTGCGTAGAAACGGACAGACGGACATGTCTAGATCGACTCGCCTGTTGATGCTGATCAAGAATATATATACTTTATATGGTCGGAGGTTATAAAAGGTTATAAAAATACATTTGGCTAAATAGCGAAACCGTTCTGTCGACCCAGCTGTTGATGACTTTTTTGCTTTGCAACGTCTTAACAAATTGATAATACACTTTCAGGGTAAAAAAAAATATATATTTTTTAATTACCCCATCATCCAAGCATTGAAAAAGAAATCCATATGAAAGAAATAGTTTCCATTAAAATGTAAACAAAGCCAGAACACCTGCTCACCTCGCTTAGAATAATGTTCCTAGATTTTGTAGTGGAATCGCCTACATTCAAACTGTGATAAAATGTAGCAATGGAATGGGGCTATAGTTCTGCAAAATTATATGAAGGTATTCGACGTTAAAATCAACATTTTAATAATTTTTAATATATTTATTAATGGATTTATAAACCAAAATAAAATATGCAAAATTGTTGATAGTTGCGTTTATCGTTTTAAGATTGGAATTCTAGCGACCTACCTTCTGATGTTGTGAGTCATGCAGAAAAAGGTAAAAATCTATGTACATAAAACGTACATATGTACATACATATGTATGCATATCGGTAGAAAACGTTTAGTTGATTCAATAGTGATAAAAGGGATGGCACATGTGTACATTCATACATACATACTTATGTACATATGACAGAGAATCATTGGATTTTTTTTTAATATGTATGATTGCAAAAAGCAATCATAAGTAATAGAAGTAACTACTGACACAAAAACTGTCTCGTACGACAAAGCCTAAACTTTCCTCTTGCCCATCGGTGGCCGTTGCAAACGCAACTGGCTTATCTACTAATTTCGTTATTCCACTTCCACACTTGTGGGTGTGCAACGAGAATCGGTTCAGCAAATGGTTCAAAGCTTGCTTTTTATGGCCTTACCCTTTTTCATAATCAACGTATTAGTCCCGGTAAGCCAGCGAGGCAGCTTTTATATATACATATATACATACATGCCTACATACTTATATATATGTACATGAAAAACTAAAAGTTTCTATTCCTGTTTTATTTTAATTTTTTTATGCAGCTCCAAACAGAGTACGACTATTGTTGTTCGAATATGAAAACAGCGATTGAATAATGGGCTTGGCAAACATTTTCTTCACTTTCACTTAATAAATACACCGCCAATTCATTTCATGTTGATATTTCTTACCGAGACTCTTCACTACTCGCGCCACTCCCTCGGCACAAAGACAATCTGTAATCTCAGGTAAAGATTTCAGCAGAATAGCTCACCGGTCCGTTCCGTTTTACTTTAAATTAATTTACTTAAAGTTGTTTTATTTTTTTAATTTTTCAAAATAATGACCGAACTTCATGGCAAATTTCCGTGCGCACCAAAGCCCAGTATGGCCAGGGTTCCCGTAAATACTGGCAAAGATGGACAGTAGTATCAGCTTGCATCATCGATGATTTTAAAAGTATCGCGATACATTCATTTCCTTTATAAATGCATATGCTCGATAGCGATAGCAAATAGCGCATCAGCTCTCAACCACCATTAGCTCTTGTGTAAAACCCTACACGGAGCTGTTAAATCTTTAATGAAATCTCAAATTAATGCAGCTGTGGCAGAGTAGTATTAGAGATTTCTTTAAAAACTTGACAGCTCCATAGGGTTTTATAAATGTGTGAGACGATGACTTTTAATGCATTGGAGCTATCCCCTTCAATACCAAAATTCCTTTCCTGTCCGATTCCTGGTGTCATGTTCAAAAAACAAATTTCATGGGTTTCGGTAAGATAATTCCGAAACAAAGTAGGCAATGAAAATTCTACCTGTGTTCGGATACTGCCAAACAATTAATTGTTGTTTTTGACGGGATTCGAAGCAGTGGTTCCGAAATTAGATTGAGATGATGAAAAATATTATTGAACGCAATTAAAAGAATCGATGGTCTCGTTAGTGAAATCTATTTTTTCACAGCTCTAATGACAGCTGAAGTATTCATAAGTTTTTCGCAATGTAATTTATTAAATATTGTTAAAGGGTAAGAGACTTATTTGTATTCAGTTAATAAATTCATTTCCAGAATTGCTTTTGAACCTGGACACTTTTTTAACCTAGACGGTGTGAACGGAAGGAGATTGTATATCCAGTATTTGTTTTCTTCTTAATTGGTGTGTATATTTGTGAAAAATATTATCCATTTGATTATAATATCCATATGTATATACATATGAATTTTAATTATAGATTGACGAGGCAACAGCCGGAAGGAAAGACACGTAACATACTTTTAGGGGATATGCAAGAAGTTATGCTAAGAAAAATTGTGGTAATCATTGAACAAATTATAAAGTTTTTTAGATGAATAAATAAATAAAAAAAAGTGTATTATGAATTGCGTCAGATATTTACTATGGGGCGGGGGGTTCCGGGGATCTTCTACACGTTTTCCTTTGGGATTCCTATCTGATTCTACTCTAAATTCCAATACGATTCTTTGGGGATTCCGCCTGGTACTCCTTTGAGAGTCCTACCTGATTCTACTCTGAATTCCCCTACGATTACTACCTTACGTTCCAAATTCCTGGATGATTCTGTTCAAAATCCTTTTCGAAATTCCCTTCGGATTCAGAGGGGAATTCGTGCCGAAATTCACGACAAATTCCTGGCAGGATTCCTTTATGATTCCTTGAAAATTCCTCGGGTAGTCAGAATTCTAGTTTGCTAACGCCTACATATACTAAATACCAATTTGGACCGATAACAATATACTGGTCTAATGAACTAAAATTTTAATTTTTAAAATTTAAAAAAAATGTAAAATGGATCTTATTTATTTGTTTAAACTTAAAAGCAAGTATGTATGCTCTGAAAAAAAAGAAATATAACTTTTTTTGAGTGTTAATTATAAGTTGGTGGGTTGAAAACGTAATTACTAAATTTCTTCAAGTGATTTCCATTCATCAGTTCAACCAAAGACTACAATTTACAAGATGCCTCACGACCATACATACATTCGTTTTGCAATATGGGGCTAATTTTTTTTATTCAAACGACAATCGCGCTCTCCCTGCCCTCACAAAGTTGAGAGCGTAAAGATCTAAAAATAGAATGCGTTTGCATGTATGAGTACCCTGCAGTACCTGTCATCAACAAAAAATCAACGTTTCATCAACAGTCAAGGGGGTGCTGTTGATTTTTCATCGATGACAGGCCATACAAACTGTTGATTTATTTAACACTAGCGGCCCGTCCCGGCTTAGCACGGGCATTAAACATTACATTTAGATTTGTCAATTTTAACACATTCATAATAATAATAATAATATGACACATATTCATCCTTTTTTTATTTATTTTTTTTTTCAATTATTGAGGTCATAACCCTAAAAGAAAATACATTTATTTAGTTAGTGCTTCTCTGTAAACAATATTTCAGGGGCTCCGACTCGCGATAGACCAACATACAGTTGACCATGAGTAAAACATTTATTTCGCAGATCGATCCCTACTAATTCGAAGGTTTGGCCTTGGGACTTGTTAATTGTTAATGCGAAAGATGTTTTTACCGGAAATTGAAGCCGTTTAAATGGGATTGGCAGATCAGTTGGGATCATCGGTATCCTCGGTATATGAGCTAGTTGACCACTTGCTGGGCCAGTGATAATATTTGCTACTATTAAATTGTCCTTTAACTCCTTAATAAGCAGCCTCGTCCCATTACACATGCTCGGAGGGTTTAATAACGTCAATTCATGGGGTGGCAGTCCAGAAGGGTTCAACGAATTTAAAAATTCCTGTGTATAATTGACTGCATCTTCAATATTCGTTACAGTGTCGATCGATTTGTATGTTTTTGTTTGGCCGGGGACTTTTTGAACAATCAGATTATTTATTTCATTGACAGTATCATTCTTAGGTGATACTATAGCCCGAGAACACAGCCAATGGAAGTCTCTTTCGTGCAAATTCTCGATATCAGGGTATACAGAATCTATTAAATTTTCCAAATTATGGAGTATTTGGCTTAGAGACTCATCCAGAAGAATGTCACAATGACCGCTTAAATTTGGAGTTGGAAAAATTCCTTCCCCAAGTTTTAGCAGTTGCTGTGGGAAATCGCTATCAGTGATTCCATGAAGATGAGCTCTCATATTTGTCCTTAAGTTTAACGTTTCAATCGTAGTCCATATGGGAGACGATTTTAAGCATGCCTTGATGATATCTGCTCGCGTGCCTCTGTTAATAACGGGGAGAGTCTGTCGAAAATCTCCAGCAAATACAAAAGTAATCCCGCCCATGACTGCAGAGGAGTTCCTTAGATCCTGTAAGGTTCTGTTCACGGCCTCTATATGTGCTCTATGGCTCATCGTGCATTCGTCCCACATAATCAATGATGCCTCTTGTAGTAATTTACCAATAGGTCCATTTTTGCGTATTGAACATGTAGATTGTTGTTCAAGATTGACGGATAGTGGAAGTTTAAAAGTAGAATGAGCAGTTTTGCCATCCTTCAAAAGAGTTGCAGCATTCATCACAGCATCCCGCAAATGGATATATTCCTCGGACCGAAGTTTCGTCTGATTCAATCTAAGAAGCCTGACAGTATATGCAGACCTGATGCATCCGGCCAATAACGACATTCGATTCGAGCTGTAATCAATAGTTGGATTGTATCTGATCTTCTGCAAGCTGTAAACGCGCTTCAGCTACCCTTGCCCTGTCGCGTTCATTATTTTGAGAGTGAATCAAATTGATTGCTGCAGAACGCGACTGTCTAACTCTTAATCGTTTTCTCTCAAGCCTATCTGCTCGTCTTTCTGCTGATTCTTCCTTGCGCATCTGCATTGCTCTCAGCCGCTGTCTCTCGGATGGAGGCCCGTTCTTCGTCAGTTATATTCGTAATCTTACGTCTTTTTGCTTCTGTATTAAGATTACGACGACCCAAACTCGACTTCTTGGGTGGCATGACTTCGTTTCTTACTGAACCTGAACAAAAAAATAAAATTTTTATCTCCAATTCCCTATTTCAATATGTTTTGAATGTTTGACAGGAAATGCTTTGGCTGCCTGTAGAGGGCGGTAGATGTAAGGTAGTTTTTTGATATTTTTTTAACACCTTGGATTACGTTTTCGTAATTTTAGTAGGGATGCCTATTTTTTTTTAAATGAAATATAGCCTATGTCACTCAGGAATGATGTAGCTTTCCAACAGTGAAAGAATTTTTCAAATCTGCCAAGTACTTTCGGAGCCTATTCAATTCATACAAACAAACAAACAAACTCACCTTTCAGCCGCGACGAAATCGTATATGCGGGGCGTTGAGGCCACCTACAGACTGTGCGCTGTTAGGGTGGCGAGCGCGTTCAGGACGGTTTCGGACGATGCCGTTCTGGTGATAGCCGGCATGGTCCCCCTGACGGAGCTGGTCCGTGAGAAGGCTGAGGTTCGGTGTGCGCTGAGAAGTCACGAAGGACCAGGAGGCGGCGCTAAGGCCGAGGCGAAGAGCGCGGCTAGAGGAAGGAGCTACGAGAGCTGGCAGGCGAAGTGGGACGCCTCGTCCAAAGGGCGCTGGACGCACAGGCTGATCGCCAACCTAGTGGCATGGATGGAGCGGAAGCATTGTCAGGTGGATTTCTACCTGACCCAGGTTTTGAGCGGGCATGGTTGCTTCCGTAGCTACCTCAAGAGGTTCGGTCATGACGACGAGGATGGTTGCCCGGAGTGCGGTTCTGGAGTTGCTGAGGATGTGTACCACATAGTTTTCGAATGCCGCAGATTCGACGAGGAGAGGGCCGCCCTGGAGGAGGTAGCAGGAGCGGAGATCAGGGTGGACACGCTGGTGCCGATGATGTTGGAGACTCCCAGGTTCTGGGAAGCGACAGCAGCATTCTCTGCCACGGTGCTGAAGGCTCTCAGAGTGCTGGAGAGGGGTAGAAGGGAGCGGACGGGCTAAGAGGCCTAATATTGTGCGAAGCATTGCTTTGCGGCCGTACCGCACAATAAGGACCCTTGCCTCGTTCCTAGTCTCTAAGTATTTATGTTACGTTAGGTGTTGTTCTATAAATAAAGACGAATATAAAAAAAAAAAAAAAACAAAAAAAAAACCTTTCCTCTTTATATAATAGTATAGATGGGCATGTACTAGGCTGTCATCAATAAAAATTCATCAACAATAAATCGATCATTCATCAACAATTCATCATCAATTCATCGCTGTTTTGTTGATGACACATCGATGAAACATTGATGTTTCTGCAAGGGAGAGTCTAGACCCAGCACGAGAGAGCGGCAGGCTCTAGAGCGCTCCCTCGCTGGCTTTTGAATGAAAAATGTGAGAGAGCCTGGAGCCAGTTCAAAAGCCGGCATGAAAAATTGTGTGCAAAAAAATCGTACGACGTTACGAATCTTCCACTCTATACACCCTTTGGTTCAACTCAGAATTTTTCCTCCACCTCCTCCTGCACCTTAACCTATAGAGCTCATCGGTTCAAATAAAATTCCAAAGATTAGGTTACGTTAAGGTGGTGAGGCTACCCTGGTAGCCTTCAATTAGAGCTGAGCTTCGTTTTGATCCTCATAGGTCGTAGTCAACGCCTCATCTTCAGTACCAGCCCGTGTCATTCAGGTGGGCTAGGATTGCAGTCACTGACTGCCTCCCTGAAGGCCCCTACTGACCCGAACTGGTGAGCCCTGATTTTGTTGAGCGCCGGGCAGTGACACAGTAAATGCTCTGGTGTCTGCTGTCCTGCTTGTGCAGTGTAAGTTGTAGGGTACGGCCAACTTGCAGGCGTGTGTGATGGATTAATGGTAACCTTCCTTCTTTTTTACTTTTAGAGATCAGCTCCACGGCCCGTCTCCCGTTGTAATTAGTCTAGCATCGCTTCGATCTTCTGTGGTCAGTCTTCATTGACCATTCCTTGCTGGCTAATAGCTTAAATTGGTCATGAATTTCCGTGTGGTCGGAGCTTGTGAATATTTGAGCTGTCATTAGAGCTGCTAAAAAATCAATTTCAACAATGAGACTATCGATTCTTTTTTTTCGTTAAGTAATATTTTTCATCATCTCACTCATGATACAATTAGAAAAGGTAGTTCCTTCGGAAAAATCTGGTACCTCTTCAATCATAGCAATGAGTGCGAGTGAGAGGGGCTCAACCTAGTAAGTGCGAGCGGGACAACAATAGAATGTGTTGATTAACCCTTAGATGATGTATAGGACTTTAAGTTTCCTTTTGAAATAAAACGAGTAGAACATTTTTTTAAAATTAAATTATTAACAATTTTGAGCTGGAAATGAGCCGTTGTTTTTGTTTTTGC